GTCTTCTTGAAAAGTAGTATAAGTAGCGGCACGAAAGTCTAGCGGTGACCGTTATTGCGCATGTCGCGCTGATTGGTGTATTGCGCATAAGTCGCGCTGATAGGCTCGCGAAATCACGTCTGTGCAATTCAATTCGTGCGCGTTGTGTGTGGAGGGGACATTTCATTCAGCACTAGACTTACGTGCCGCGACTTATATGTAGGTGCATAAAACTTCGTTTTTATGGAATCAAACAACGCAACTGTTAGTGTAGAGCCTAATGGCCTACTGAATAGAACAAAATATTTTTACTCGATATGGATTACCTACATGTAATTCTTATTGAGTCATATTTTACTTTTACCACTGGTTCGGAAAAACCTCTCTTCTGGAAAGAATCAGAAAGACACCCATTAAAATAATTGGAATAGATTTGCCACCTGGGGGATGATAGGGTACTTTTGCGAGTTCGCTCTGTTCATGGCCGATAGCAAACGCTGCGCTAAAATTTAAAAACTTAGGGTATCGCCCTACGCATCAACAATTTATGTAGCATATATATATGGTTAATTTTTCTTTCATTTTCAATCATAATCCCCTTATGGTTATATAATATGTTCTGTGATGTGATCATAATTACGATAGGATACGAAGTGAACGTACGCTACTTGCTTAGAAACACGAATTCCTGTCAAATCATTGTAATAGTATCACTGGGAAACTATCTATCACAATATACTCATTTTTATTGTTTCATAGGCAATTCATAAAAATGAAATAAGATGCCAATGCTTGCAATCGGTAGTGCACTACCGATTGCAAGCATTAGCGTCGTTACGAATGCACAAAACCGTGTTGTTGGATGCACAGAGTACATTATACGGTTGGATGACGAACATCGCAGAGAGCGAGAGGCTTGGCAATGCGAACAGAAAGCCCTTGCTAATACACTGGTCGGCAACTAATCGATGAACAAAATGACCACAAAAGACACTCGCCAGTTCCACAAACATTAATTAAGTAATCATCAAGCTGAAAAATATTTTATTGTAACTCAAAAACTTTATCAAGACAAAATGTATACAAAGAAATGACGATCAGAAATACATAAAATTAAATTGTGGTGCCTACTGTGTATTTTATTAAAATTATCAGCTTCCAAATGTTTTTATGTTTTTCACCCGACTTCAAAAAAAGGAGTAGGTTCTCAATTCGACTGTAGTTTTTAGTGTGTTACCTCTGAACTTTTTTCTAGGTGAACCGATTTTGATTATTCTTTTATTATTTGAAAGCTGGTGCTTGTCATGTGGTTATATATAAGTTAGATCAAGATCTGACCAGTAGTTTTTGAGTTATCCTTAATAATGAGTATTTATTTGACTTCAACTACATTGATGATGTTCTCATTTTATTTATATTGAAGTCAGTTGTTTGATTTTACCCCTTGTATTTGTCTCTTTCAGTACATAAAAACGTTTGACAATAAGACTTTTAAACCTATCGATCTGACCATATGTTGCACAAGATAGTTTTTGTTTTAAAATCTACAATAGATGGCGCTGATGAAAGTTTGATTTTAATTTATTATAGAAATAAAGGTTAACTACTTATGCTAGTTCTTGGCCACAATCCCACCAGGTGGTAAGTGGTGATGAAATCCTTGATAATATATCTTAATATAAGATGATAAGAAGATCTTGCCTTGAAGATCAGATTGTACTCCGACAGAAAGACATATGCTGCCCGATTATTCCAGACATGACATGGAGACATTATTTATTTTATCGCATCTACAGTCTACACCATAGAGTAGCTGAAACACTTACAGGGCCGGTCAACTTCCTAATAGCAGATTGGCACCGGGAGATGACCTTGGGGGGCTTTAAAGAAGCGAGATGGAATTATATCTATCTCCCTCGCACGTTATGTCATAGTGTTCTGTGAACACTTAGCCATTGTGCACACAAGCCAAGCTCAATTTGGAATTTACAAATCGAAATTAGTATTTTGTTAACATGTTAACATTTTGTTTTTTCTGTGCCAGCCATTTGGAAACATTATCAAAAGATAGTATTAAGAAATTGTTTCGTTATTATAAAAAAAACATTGAGGTATATCCGCAATCAGACCCATCTCAGATATTTTTTGTAACATACAAGTAAGATCATGAATGTAAACCAAGAACAAAATGGGAAAAGTATTGATTCCTATGCAACATCGACTTTCCTAATACATTTTTTTACACTGACAGTTTACTTATAAAAATTCAAACCATTATTTAAAAATGACAATACAGTATACAATACGTACAACAATACGCTTGTGATGAAGTTCCAGTCAAAACTAATGAATGTAGATGGAGATTAGTCTGCCATTGACAATATGCGTTCAAACGTGGCAAATGTACCAACCTATGTAGCAATCCTTGGAAGTTAATTGTATTTTAAGGACACTAGCTTTTCTCGGGCCTTCAGTAATCTATCCAGGAGATTTACGGTTTGAAGTCATTTATATAGATTTATAGTAGTAAAACATAACTCATAAAACAATGTAAGTTCCTGATGGAAAAAAAAACATGACACGGCTATTTTGTGAACGCTGTATCTCTGTTTTACTTTGCTGCTTTTAATTACATCATTCAATATAATTATATAATTTGATATTTAATAAAATGATAAAAAATTGTAACACTTTTGTAACATGTAACACTGTATTAACTCAAAAAACGTTATTTCGAGTTATAGCTTTCCAGTTTAAAAAAATTATATCAATGAAATTATATATTTTTACTAGCTGGCCAGGCAGACGTTGTTAGTTGTGTATCGCCAGCAACGCAAAGTCGGGGCTTTTTGGGTGCGAATTAGGTGCCAAGTTTAAAAATTAGGTGCTCTAAAATTTTCACCACAACGAACTGTTGAAATTTGCGTTGCTAGCAGAGCGTTTCACTAGCAACGCAATGAAGTTATTAGATATACGAAAAATATTAATAGCAAGGAATTAAGTGCTAATTAGGTGCTGCAAGTATACACAATAACAAGGCGCCCCTAATAAAAATAAAGTCGTTATTCAGAACATAGCAGATGCAAAATTCAGATTTCCTGAAAATTAAATTAGAATCATAATTGCTTTCAGAAAAAGTCCAAATTAGGAACTTTTTAGGTGCTAATTAAGTACCAAGTTTAAAAAAGCATGAGTGTCGTGGAACACTCATTTGGAACTAAGTTCCTTTCGTAGTATATTATTATATTATTAATTAACAAATACAAATAAATGATTACTAGGTTCTATTTAATTGAAGTGTCATTTAAAATAAAATTTCTTTCATGGCAAAATAAGAAAAACTGCGAGGGAGATGAATATTAGTCCTTCTCGCTTCCTCATAGCCACCTAGGGCAGCTACACTACATCAGAAGGGGTTGTGATGAAAAAATCTTACACTTTTTCTCGCCTAGCCCCCATCTTTTTTTTTATAGGATAAGGGTGACAAACAAGCACACAGTCCACCTGATGGTAAGTGGTTGCTGTGGCCCATAGACATCTACGTATATCCTCGATTACGAATCAAAATGCACATGCATTGTCGCCCTTGTGGACTAAGATGGAATGCCTCCTTTCCAGTAAAAAGGGTCTCCAGTTCTCTACACTCACAATATAAAACACAGCAGCGTTAAGCTGCTATTTTACGCTGGTATTCTGTGAGACCATCTGCTAAATTCGTACTGTCCAATAAGGAACTTTGTTCCAATACTAAACAATTTATTTACGTCTGATTCCACATAGACTTCATGCCAAGATAATTGTTATATGTAATGTAGAAATTTTTCTATACTTTCAGAAGTGGACTTTCGATAGGCTATAATAAATAAAAAAGTTGTTTATAAACTTATAGATGACTTTTTACATGTATAAATTGCTTCAGTAATTCTAACTTTAATTAATGTAATGTGATAGAACTGATTTAAATGAATAATAATTATCTAAAAAAGCATCAGATGTGTACTGAACTGAGTAAATAGCAAAAAATTAAACTCTGAGAGATGTCTGTGTATTTGTGCTGTTGATGTAAAATTATTGATCCGTGGGGGGCAGAGTGGATAAATTATTACTGAAACTGTTTTACAATTTATACAGTTTTGGACATCATAATTAAATTTTTTTTTCAATTCATTTTATCGTTATTGCTAATTTTGTTGTTTGTTTTTTTTCATATGTAGTTTTGTTTGTTTTTTTTTTCATAGTATAAGGTTGACAAACGAGCACACAGTCCACCTGATGGTAAGTGTTTTCTGTGGCCCATAGACATTTATATCCTCGATTAAGAATCAAAATACAAATGCGTTGTCACCCGTGAGGACTAAGATGGAATACCTCCTTTCCAGTAAAAAGGGTCTCCAGTTCTCTACACCCACCATATGAAACACAGCAGCGTTAATTGCTATTTTATGCTGGTATTCTGTGAGAGCGTGGGGTCCTTCACCGGTCGAGCTGACCCATTCGTGCTACAACGTATAAAAACTACTTTGAAAATAATAAAAAAGAAACATCACAATCACTTGTTAGTGTTCTGAGACAAACACTTATTAGTGCCCATTAATGTGAATTCTGCCTAGTGCTCCTGAATAAACCTTGTAGTGTTAAGTTCATAATTTTTTCTTTACTCACTAATTCTCATGAATTCCTCACAATATAACATTAACAGTAAAATATATATGTATAGGTGGCCTAAATAAGTCACAAGTTATTCAGATGTTACATGCTATCTAACAAAACAGATGCACCATCAATTATAGATGTAATAAAATAGAATGCAACAATTTAATCCATTTAAATCTCAAAGTGAATTATTTTATGAGTGTCAATTGAACTTAGAAATAATTCAATAAAAAGACAGCTTTTAATAATTATTTAAATATTTACTTTTAATAATTATTTAAATCTTTATACAATATTTATCATCAGCAATTGCCAAAAACATTTTGAGGAATGGACACATAACTTAACAAATACATTTATATCCTACTTCATACATAAATCCCAACCCATAACAATAGGAATAAGATACCAAACCCAGAAAAGAGTGCCGCAACGAGTGATAGTAGTAGTTCTTTAAAGAGATCTCGAGAAGCCTTAGTACTTGTAACTTCGTATACGAAAAACCACGCTGTGAAGAAAATTCCGATGCCGAGAAGTAAAAGTGTTAGGTGTGGAAACACAGCCGGGTTTATCGGCGACGTGTATCGTACCATTGACTCAATTTCCAGCTACAAATAAGTGAAATACAATATATTTATGTAGACTTAAAATTGAATAAACAATAATGTAGTAATACTTACGCTCATTTTTATTACTTGTATTATTTAATTAAATTATTTTAAACTTTACATAAAGTTTTTTGAATAAAATTTTAACACCGGCTTAGCTTAGAACTAAAAAGCTAAAAACCATAGAGTACAGAGTTAGAGTCAGAGTACCACAGAACACTATTACTCCTACAGAGTACCATATGAATATTCAATATACATCTGTGATGCATCGAATCGATCCGATGTTTTGGAAAGTTATTGATATACTCGATGTATCGATGTATTTTCATAAAACATGGAATCAATGATAACCAGCCAATGGTAATAATGTATACTTACCTAGTACTATTACAATTATAACTTTTCAATCAGAAAAACTAAAACATGCTCTGATTTAGAAATTATAACATTAAGCCTTTAAGCTCTCTCTCTTTAAAACATGTTGGTAGTGCTAGTTAGCAGCTGTCAGTCCAAGGGGAATGAAGAAATTGAGATTGGCTGGTCGGAAAAACTGTGCTAAAGATAATTAAAACACTGGCAGAATTCTATCAAGAGAAGTCAAAATTTAAAAGATGAAGAAGAAGAGAATTAAAAAAATCGTCGGGTCTGTCTCGGTCTTATATCATTTAAGCCGTAGATGCACAGACCGCGGCCCGCCGGTTGAATACTGGTGGCCCGCCGACAGCAAAAATAATACTCTCGTACATTCGAAAAATATTGAATTATATTCCAGAACAAAACTAAAAAAAAGTATGTTCGAAAAGTAATTTGAATCTCGCGCGCGCGCTCTTAAGTGCGCTTATAGGTGCGCCGTGCATGCGTCGGTAACAGCGGTAGGTAATGTTCGTGCTGATCTCGGTTAAATTCGTTTTCTTGAGGAACCGCCGCAGCCGGCGGCGCGGAGACGACGGCAGCGCGGTGGCGGCTTACCCACGGGTTATATTGTTAGAGCAAGCGAGATAGCTATAGTCCCGAATTCCCGATTGCTCGCGTAGGTAGATATACGAAGCTTCCAGAGTCGGTTTCGTGATTTCTCCAGACAGTTTTCGACTCTAAACGCGCGGTATAAAAGCCACGCTAACCGCAGCGACCGACAGTTCGGTTTTAATTTGAGTGAAGTGTCAATAGTTCTAGTGTAGATTTTAACTCGACTAGCCAGTGTCATATATTTTGATCCACATTCAACGTAGATTTCCCGTCAAGTGCCGTGTATAATTGTGTTGTGTAATCGTAAGTAAAACTCTGTTATTAATAAGTGTTTCCCTACCTATTTAATCAATTATTTTTGGTAATTTAAAAAAGGATGGGTAATTTAAGTAGGTACTGTAATTGTTTTTAGGTGCTGTGTTAATCCTAGTCACGATTAGAACGCAACATGGACAAGCCAGGACCTAGTAAAAAACGTAAGGTTAAAGATGAAAATCGGCAGTTTCAAGAAATTTGGACTGAGAAATACTTTTTTGTATGGTCGCATAACAAAGTCGTTTGTTTAATTTGCAAGAATTCTGTTGCGATTGCAAAGGAATATAATGTAAAAAAGCACTATGAAACGCAGCATCCTACTTTTACCAAGTTTAAAAGCGAATTAAAAAAGCAAAAAATGTTGTTTTTAAAACGGGAGCTTATTGGTCAGCAAGCTATGTTTACAAAACCCATTCAAGATTCAGAAACAGCTACAGAAGTTAGTTATGAAATTTCTCGAATAATAGCAAAGCGAAGTCGCCCCTTCAATTATGGGGATTTTGTAAAAGAATGCATAGAAATTGCCGCTAAGAAAATGTGTCCAGAAGCAGCAAAAAAGTTTGAGAAAATTCAACTGAATCGTATGACTATCCAAAGACGAATTATGTCTTTGTCAGGTAATATTGCGGAACAATTAAATGAAAAAACTAAGATCATTGAATTTTTTTCATTATCACTTGACGAATCCACTGATATTAGTTCCACAGCTCAACTTCTAATATTCATACGAGGTGTTGTTACTCAAGATTTTGAAGTCTTAGAAGAGTTATTAGGAATGTGTTCATTGAAAGGTCAAACCAGAGGAGTTGATATACTCAATGTACTTTTGGATGAGTGTTCAAAAACTTATTTGGACTTATCAAAATTATCGGGAGTTGCGACTGACGGTGCTCCTTCGATGATTGGTGTCAATTCTGGGCTACTTAATTTGCTGAAAAAGTATCTGCAAGAAAAAAACATAAACGCTGAAGATCTCATGCAGTTTCACTGCATTATACACCAAGAAGCCCTCTGTTCTAAAAAAATTGTTTCAAAATGTCATGAAAGTGGTAGTTTCGACTGTAAATTTCATAAAATCACGAGGACTCAATCACAGGCAATTCAAACAATTCCTTGATGACATCGAAAGCGAATATGGAGATTTATTGTATTATACAGAAGTAAGGTGGCTAAGTCGTGGATTGACACTGGAACGATTTCTAAATTTAATAAAAAAAATTGGAATATTTCTGGCGGAAAAGCAAAGGGATGTCCCGGAACTTAAAAATCCTGATTGGTTGTGTGATTTGGCTTTTTTAGTTGATATTACAAATCATTTAAATGTCTTGAATACACGGCTTCAAGGCAAAAATCAACTGATATCCCAGCTCTACGCTCATGTATCATCCTTTCAATGCAAGCTGACACTTTTCAGATCGCAATTGAATTCTGGAAATTACAATCATTTTCCGATTTATAAGAAAATGGCTGAAAAATTCAAAAAAACTGCGATTAATTTCAGTTCTGTAGAAAAGCTAGATATTTTGATTCAATCTTTTCAAGACAGATTTTCGGAGTTTAAAAAAGTGAAACCTCTGTTGGACATATTCAGCAATTCTTTCACGATTTCAATTGAAAATGCGCCAGAGTCAATGCAGTTAGAAATTATCGACATTCAAGACGACCAAGATTTACGCAACAAATTCAACGAAGGAGACTTGCTGGACTTTTAACGCTGCATTGATAAAAATACGTACAAAAAGTTCCGCATAAACGCCCTGAAATGTGCCAGCTTATTTGGTTCTACCTATATATGTGAACAAACCTTTTCAATACTAAATAATAATAAAACAAAAAATCGAAACCGCCTTGCAAATGAAAGTTTGGAAGCAGTTTTACGTGTTGCTACAAGTAAATTTGAGCCAAATATAATAAAGATTGTAAGCACTATGCAGTGCCACGCTTCAAATTAATAAATTCTTTTTCAATTTTAATACATTATTATCAATTCGTTATTGTCTTTAATTACCTATACTTCTGGTGGCCCGCCATCAGTTCATAATTTGCCCGAGTGGCCCCTAGTCTTAATAAGTCTGTGCATCACTGATTTAAGCCAATCGACTCGCCTCGCATGATTATTCCCCTTTGCAAAATCTTTTTAAAAACGTTTATAAAAACTGTTTACGGAATCGATTTTATCATTACAACAATCGTTTCCGCTGAAGTAGGTGCTATTTGAAAAATGCCGATCTGTGCAGTTAACGTGTGCATAAAGCAGACAAATACTTAAAATTTGCAAAAAGATGGAGTCATATTTCAAATGTAAGTATTTTTATTGCGATACATGCATTTTTTCATTAGGTAATCGAGAACGTAATATTTCATAAAAATCGTACGTAGTATTTCATAAAAACCGTAATGTGAGTACTCAAAGAATTCTGAAGAGATCGCAGAGTCCTGTATAGGACAGTTATTATACTCTTTGAGAGACCGAAACCGAAGGTCAAATTCTGAGTGTGCTAGGTCAGGACTATATGGTGGATTCATTAACACTTCTCAACCAAGCTCTCTCAATTTGTTCAAAATAGCCAAATATGTGTGTGGTCTGGTGTTATCATGATGAAAGACCACTCTTTTTCTGTTGATCAATTCCGGCCGTTTTTAACAATTTCTTGCTTGAGTCTCATAGTTGTTGGCAGTAGAGTTCCGAGCTCATAATAAGCGATGCGATACACACAACATCACCTGATTGCGTGTTAATTCGGGTTCCACTACAGTCTATGGAGCTTGACTACCCTTTGACCATGATCTTTTTCGCACGTTCTTATCGTAGGCGATCCATTTTCATCACCAGTGTTCTTTTTGTCTATTTATATCTTTTTAAAAATGGTTCAGTTTCATTATGTTTCAATCGCAAATGAGTACACGATTCATTATGTTTCTTTCAGGGAGCTCGCGTGGTACCCAAAAATCGAGCTTTTTTGTATAGCCAGAATTTTGAAATGGGTCAAAACTGTTTTGTGGTCAATCCTCAGTTTCTGCAATGTCTGCACTTTTTATTGATTTGTGGCTATGTCGTAACCACTAACATGCCTATCTTGCTCCATTTTTCAAAAATGACATCAACTTTATCCATATGAGGGCGACCAGAGTGAGCTGCATGTTTGACATCAAAATTACCGGACTAAAAACGCTTGAACAAACTTTGCGCTACTTTTATTGACCCTGCATTATGTCTATAAACGTCACAAGTTTATTTCGCGGCTTGAGTCACATTTTTCCTTTTTGGTAATAAAACTAAATGTATCGAATTTTTTTATGGCAGCCTTACAATTACTGTCAACCTGCAGTCATTAAATAATAGTAAGCAAAGAGATTTAAATATATAGGTATCCTATAGAGTGAACATTATGAATATCTCTGCATATAAAAATGTTGAGCTCGCACGTGTGTGCTAAAGGTGGCTACTGACCTGCCTGCCGCAGGGGCAATCTAGGGTGAAGGAGTGGGGATGACCCTTAATTGCCTCCTTAATTGTGATGTGTGTAGGCAAGCAGGGGCAATTTTTAAGTCGGCCCTGTGGCAGGGCGGCAGGAGCGCAGTGTTGAAAAAGTTCCCGATTTATCGGGAGATATACTGATTTTAATTATTATCTCCCGATATCCCGATTTAGCGAACGTATCTCCCGATTTTTTTACATTTTCAACTAATGTAAAATAATA